AAAAAAAAAAAAAAAAAAAAAAGGCAAAAATTGCAGGAGGGAGCGACGGTCCGTGCTTGAAATCACCCTTTTATTCCCGGCATCAGTAAGTTGACGACAACCTTCTCCAAATCCACCTTTTCCCAACCTAACTCCTCCGTCCCCCGCAGCTGTAACATCTCTGCTGCTAGAAAAAAAAGAAAATAAAAATCAAATCGGGATCCTAATACGCTCACTCCTCACAGAGAAGGAAAGGGTCAGGGGAGTGGTGGTAATTTGCTTTTAACTGATTTTTGCGAAGGAAAGCACCAAACCCTCTTCCTACAGCTTGGGAAAAGTTGTGTTTGTCCCCGAGTGCAGGCTCTGAGCCCCGGAGATTTTGGGTGATTTCACCTCTTGGAGAAGGAGGAGCGATTGCTACGGGGGGTTGGGGGGAAATTTGGGGAAAATTTAGGACGGGAAATCTCTGGGAAGGTGAAGGATCCTGTGAACGAGCACCCAGGGTTTGGTGCTGTTAGATAAAATCTGGGTGAAAAGGAATTTTAGGGTGAGGATCTCTCAGCAGAGTGTTGTGTGCAGGTCAAGGAAACGTGTTCTTCATGGGCTGGATTTTATTTATTTTAAATTTTTTTTAAAGGAATCATGCTACTCGTGTTTCTGTTTTCTCCTTCTGCTTCCTCCTCCCTGTTAACTTTCAGAAAAAAAAAAAAAAAATTGTTCCACCAGATTTGCTAAGAGCCAGAGGGTATAAAATTCCTGCAAGATTTGGGAAAATACGTGGCAGGGTGAAGGATGGGGGGTTTTTATTAACCACTTGTCCCCATGCCTTACCCTTGTTTTGTGATTCAGATGATTTTATTTGAGAATAATAATAATCTGTTAGATTATTAGAGGATGCACAGGTTAGTAATAAAAGAGAGGGGTTTTTGCCTCAAGAGCCCAACCCTGGGGTGTGAATCCCCGGGAAGGCGGTTGGGGATGGGTTTGGTGTTGGGATCTGCTTACGGGGGGGGGAGTTTTACCTCTTGTCTTTCAGGGAGGTGTGGTGGCACCAGCCATGGAGCCGTACGTGCTGCTGGACCCGCGACAGCGAGCGTTGTATCGCGACGTGATGCAGGAGAGCTACGAGACCCTGATGGCGCTGGGTGAGGAGCCTCCCCCCATCCCGTGGGGGAAAATTCAGGCTGGACGGAGGATCCGGCTTGTTGGATCCTCACGTCTTCACCCAAGGGGTGTTGGGGATCCCCCCCCGACTCACGTTGCTCATCCCTCCTTCTCCTTTCCAGAATTCCCCGTTTCTAAACCCGATCTCCTGTCCCGCCTGGACCACAGGGATGAACCTACAGCCCTGGATCTCCACGTGCCCAGGGACGCCCCGGCCGCAGGTGAGTCTCTGATCACGCCTCGATCTCAGCGGGCGGAAAAAAAAAAATAAATTAGTTTGGCTCCCGCTTGCCCACCTCTCCCCAAAACGGGCAAAAAACCCCGCACCGTAACGGCGGCCGCCCTACCCCAGGCTGCAAAGGGAAGAAAGATGCTGGGGAGGAGAGAGTGTAATGCCAGAGGGATGTCCTGGCCCAAAATGGAAATGCTGAGCCCATTTCCTAGCCAGGAGCGTTTCTGGGGCGGTGGATGAATTACCACGAGGAGCGATGGGGATCGGCGAAGCGCTGGAAGTGTTTACCTGGAGGAGCGTGTGAAATGAAAAAGGAGGAGGAATCCCTCCTTGTTTTCCTTTTTCTACCACCGTCCCACCTCCCCACAGCCCCGTCTCCTGCCTGGGTGGTGTCTGTCTCTTTTTTTTGTGCCCCACAGAGGATGGAGCAGGAGCGGAGCAGGAACCACCTCGAGTAGAAGGTGCTGAGAAAGAGCCCGGAGTGAGGAAACCTGGGAGCGAGGAGCAGCCCCGGAACCCCGCCGAGGCCGGGGTGAAGGTGAACAGGAGCGGGGGGCCGGGTGAAACATCCCCACGCCCGGGCGAGGGTCAACCCAGCAACACCTGCGGCGAGTGCGGCAAGAACTTCAGCCATAAATCAGCCCTGGTGAAACACCAGAAAATCCACACGGGCGACCGTCCCCACGAATGCTCCGACTGCGGCAAATGCTTCATCCAACGCTCCGACCTCACCATCCACCAGCGGGTCCACACGGGCGAGCGGCCTTACGCCTGCCCCGACTGCGGGCGCCGTTTCAGCGTCAGCTCCTCTTTGCTCACCCACCAACGGACCCACGCGCCCGGCGGGGAAAAACCCAACCGGTGCCCTCAGTGCGGTCGTAGCTTCGCCGATCCGGAGGCTCTCGATCGTCACCGGAAGAGTCATTTGGGTGGGAAACCCTACGAGTGCGGCGGGAAAGCTTTCGCCTGGAGCTCCCACCTCGAGCGGCACCGGCGCATCCACACCGGGGAGAAGCCCTTCCAGTGCGCCGAGTGCGGGCGGGCCTTCGCCTGGAGCTCCCACCTCGACCGCCACATGCGCACCCACGCCGCCGCTGCCACCGCCGCCGAGGATGAGGAAGATGAGAGGGTGGAGGAAGAGCCCCCGCCGCCCCCTCAGAAATGCGCTGACTGCGGGAAACGCCTCAACCACCAGACGGACCCTCAACGCTTCAAGCACAAAGGCACCCAGACGTCGCCGGCCGGCGCCGAAGCCGCCGGCAACCCGCCGCCGCGGCCTCACCGCTGCGAGCAGTGCGGCAAATGCTTCGGCCAGAGCTCCAACCTCCTCAAACACCAACGCGTCCACACAGGCGAGCGTCCCTACCCCTGCCCGGATTGCAAACGCTGCTTCCGCTGGGGCTCGGCTTTAGCCAAACACCAACGTACCCACACCCGGCAGCAACAAACCGCTGCCAAAACCGCGCCGGCGCCCGCCGAGGAAACCGGCGCCGGAGGAAACGGCAAACCTTACCCGTGCGGGGCGTGCGGGAAGAGTTTCGGCTGGGTTTCACACCTCGAACGCCATCGCCGCATCCACACCGGGGAGAAGCCCTTCCGCTGCGGGGAATGCGGGCGGGCCTTCGCCGTCAGCTCCCACCTGGAACGGCACCGCCGGGTGCACACCGGCGAGCGGCCTTACCGCTGCGGCGAGTGCGGCAAGAGTTTCGCCGTCAGCTCCACTTTGTTGGCTCATCGTCGCACTCACGCCGTTCAACCGGGACGACCCCACGCTTGCCCGGAATGTGGGAAAGGTTTTAGTACACCGACCAGTTTGGAACGCCACCGACGGCTTCACCGTGGTGAGAAACCCTACCAGTGTGGTGTCTGCGGCAAAGGTTTTGCCTGGAGCTCCCATTACGACCGGCACCGGCTCACCCACACCGGTGAAAAACCTTTTTCCTGCGCCCACTGTGGGAAATGTTTCGGTCGTAGCTCCCACCGCAACCGGCACCAACGTGCTCACGCTTCTCAGGGCGGCCCGGAAAAGCGACACGTCTGTCCTGAATGTGGCAAAGCCTTCGGCCTCGGCACGGCTCTGGCAGCTCACCAGCGACTGCACGCCGCCGGCGCCGGCACCCGCGGCAGCCCCCTCTCCTTGCTGCCGCCGGCGTGGTGGGAGGGCGAGAGGCGAGGGGGGACGCCTGCACCCCCTGAGCTCTGGCCTGAAGAACCCGGCTCTGTTTTCCAGCAGCACCCCGTGCCTTCCTCCTCCTCTTCCTCAG